CTTCCCCTAGATGGAAATATTCTCCATGTTGCTTGTAAAATGTAGGTAAATAAATTTATTAGTTGTACTATGCATTCCAGTTAAAGTCTCCACCCTGTTTACCACGAGATTATATTCCAAGGCTTCAGTGGCTTCATATTCTATAATATCTCAGAAGGATTCAGTAGGAAGACATCAGTTGAAATTAATGAATTATATGAAATGATTTGACTGTTATATGATCTATATGTCAGCGTCAATTAGTGTAATCCGCCATTGCCTGAAATTCTAGTTATTTCACGTATTGCCGACAAACAGCGTAACTCTACATTTGGTACACCATTTGCCTGATAGTTTCAGGTTTCAGGCATTCCCTATAATGACCAATTTTTAATAAATAGTCTCTTTTTTATGCTTATGCAGAAAGGATATTTTCCATAGACGTAAATATTCTTCATCCGCAACCCCCAAACAGAGTAACGGCTGAAAACGGAATATTATAAGATCAAAGGAACTTACCTTATGTGAAGTTCGATCTTAATTATATGAAACGCCTTGCCCAAGATGATTCGACTGTGTAGTTTCCCACTTCCTGCCAAATGTTCCACAATATTTAAAGCTTTCATTCACTCTGCTCTCCCCACTAACCCACCATGTCTAGCTATACCTCCAGCGACTAACCTCATCATTTTTAAAGCTATATCATTGCAACTGGAAATGATTATGGGTGGGTTTGAAGGGTGTGTATAATCCCTGAACCAAAAATTTGTGGATCGTTGGTCACTCCCTTCCAGTTTTGAAGAAACTCGCACAACCTACCAGCTTTTGAAGTAACCTCTTCATTCATCGCCTCCTTTTGGTCTCCTGGTCCTTCTTTTGGCGATGATTCGGGGGTCGTATTTGTTGTAGTTGGTGTTGGGACGAGAAAACGGATTGACCTCCGCTCTGGTGTCCTTTGTTCCTGAGCGGAACCTTGGAGTTTAACTTCCTATGCACAACCTTTGAAGATCGTCTAGCCTGAGTATTAGGCTTCAGCTCATTTCCAGATTTTTCGATCGCCCTTGCAGCCTTAACTCGCTCCCCTAGATTTTCACCAAACAGAAAATCGTCAATATTCGCATTAACCATAATGTCTTTGAGGTCCGGGTTGAGGGCCGCACCAACAATGGTTTTACGTGTTTCTGACCCTCTGAAATATTAATCAGCAAGGATTCGGGCAGCATCCCCCAAGGTCTCTATGAATACCAAGTCACCTCTCCTCCTTCTTCTTCATTCAGCAGCAAAGTCAGTGCTCTACCTAGGGCACAAATACCTGCTCCAAGCTGCTTTCATCTCAGCTCCATTCTAGCATCCTGCTCGATGGTGTTTTTTTCAATGCCTGGATATTTCTCTAGTAATTGCTTTTGAGAAGTTTAGTCAATAACACTTCCTAAGGAGCTGTCAAATCCTCATGGATTATAATTTCAGAATTTCCTGGATTAGGACCAACCATTTCTATTGCTTTCAAAACTTCTTCATTTAATGAAGAAACACCCAGAAACTCAATCTTGAGCGGATTCTCATCATGTACACCTGAAGTGGATCCTTCGGGTTGCAATCTCAAAAACAGAAGAATAAGAAAAATCTTTAAAGGCTTGCTAATAACTATGAAGCCGCATGGTCCCAAATCTAAACAAAAACAAAAGAACAAGAGAGAAGACGGATCCTTCATTTCTCATTTGGGGCTGTGCAACACCGTGGTGCGTGTATACCATACACAAGGTATCTTCATTATCTGACCTTAGACAATGGATTTCAGCATTTTGTGACAACAAACATCGGAATGTTATAAAGGTGTCTCATAGCAGTGCACTGCCAGCGAAGCGAAGGTACCAACCTTTCTCGCCGTCTAACAAATCAATCCACTATCTATCACGGCGACGGATCAACTTTTTCAACTTTTCTACCTCTCTTCTTAGGCCGGTAACTTCGTCGGAACTGGAACTTGATGAAGACGAATACGATCGCTTAAGTTTAATCTTATTTCTAGTTGTTTTACCTCTTGTTTTGTCCACTCTAATAATTACGTGTTTACTACTCAAGCACAAAACGGAAGAATGAGGTTAGTCGCTGGAGGTGTAGCTAGACACATAGTGGAATTATAATGTGGTATGCTACGACGCATCTTTGTATACGTCACTGCAAATAAAACAATTGCTCGCAGTCTGAGCTCGCAGCTATCAATTCGCCCGAGTCGCCGTTATCATTTTGGTGCGAGTAGAGACTCGCAATGACGTTGTGCGCAGGAAACACGAATTCAAGATACCTGAGTAGCACACCATATTATATTTCCACCATGGCTAGACATGGTGGGTTAGTAGGAGAGAGCAGGGTAAATGAGAGCTTTAAATATTGTGGTACATTTGCCAAGAAGTGGGGAAACTACACAGATGAATCATCGAGGACAAGGCGTGAATATAATTTCGACGTCTGACTATCGTAAATTAGGCTTTACAGGGAATGCCTGAAAATATTAGGCCAACGATGTGAAATCACTACAGGCATTCTAGGGAATGACTCACATCACTAAATGAGGCCGACATATATACTAAACGAAATATAGAATCACGTCAGTTGTTACAGCAAACACGATGTCTGTTCGTTTGGAAGGCGGAGTAATGGAATGTGCCTCAATATTTTGTGAATTATACCTGTAAATTTTTTCTGAGTGGAATCGATTTTGCCGCTTTGCCAGCCCACAAAAGTGAAAGAAAATTATTGGCACTTCGAATTACCATGAACGTAAGGAAGATAACAGCTTAGGGTCAACCCTATTTGTGAAGATAATGTCTTTTTCATTGACTTGTGACGCGTAACACATGTTAGTGCGCTTTCCGACCTAGGCATATGCGTGTACTGAACAAGATGGACACGTTTTCATCATATTTTAAGTTGTCTCTGATGTGTGTCTTGAGGCTTGTATTGATAGTATTTGATACGTTCATTCATCATTCAAAATTACCACAAATAATTCTTCACCATTTAAAAATAATGACCTCCCGAAAGCGCTAGCACTCGATGCCGTGATATACCAATAAGCACCATTAGCAGGGGCGGACTGGCCCGGAGGGCGGGAGGGCGAAGCCCTCCGCGCCTATGCCCAGTGGCGCCCTTGCCCCTAAGTACTAAGAATCCAAGAAAGCAAAGAAAGGAAAAACGCGCTGCTATCGCGCCTTACGAAGGCCAGAAAGCAGAAAGCAATTTCATTTTCGAATGCAGACTTTCTACTCGGAATGACGACATTGTTACTTGGAATTCTGAAGTTTTACAATTTCAAAAAATGTCAGCCGTTCCTGAAATATTTTGAAAGAACTTTTCTTAGTTAATATTTGGGAAAAGCTATCGAAATTTTGTATATAAACAGGTGATTGATCATGATGAAGAAGTTGGGATTGTCAGAAATATTTTTCAATATTTTCAGAGATTCAACATGCAACTTATTACGTTTTCCTTATGGGCGCTATATCTGTTTTTATATACCATTGAATGAAAATAGAGCTAAAGAACAGTGAAAACATTTTCAAAGGTGGTAGGCCATGAAAATGAGAAAACATATATTATCAGTCGTCATGACCACAATATCGATAATTCTTAATAACCATGAATAACTTGCTACATTATTACAAAAGGCACAGAAAACCTCAGATTATAAATTTTTCGTTGAATAATCAAGATACTATTTCCTTTAACTATTATTGAAGGTTATCATTCAGTGTAAGACTTGGTCTTGTCATAAGTTTTATTCCAGTTATATTTCTATGATTGAATTTGAATTGGTATAAATCTTTGAAAATAATAGATAGAATATTTCTGAGAATCCCAACTTCTCTACCATCCATGATTAATTACCTGTTCACACAAAATTTCAAAATTTTCTCTCTTATATTAACCAAGAGAATAATTAGGAACGAAATCAGTGATTTTTAGTCTTTTCAAAATATTTCAGGAACGGCTGACATTTTTCGAAAGTGCATAACGTCATATTGAATAAGTTCAAATTAAGCAACGTTTGTCCTATCTAATCAACTTTATATCTCTTACTGTTTGGGAAATAGCAATACTGTGTCTATTAAATCGTTGATGGGACACTGTATATTTCTTTACCACGGAAAGACCTCTCAAAGACCTTTCCAAAGACACATCATTCAATATAATCATCTTCCATATTTTTCAATTCTTGAGTATCTAAGACTAACAGAGTTTGATCGATTTTTGAAATAAAATAATAAGAATGATTGCAAATCTGATCAGTAAAAAATAAAATTGTTATCATTGTCATGGCCTATACTCTCAAACACTATTCAAAATTCACGAAACTCTGATGTTTGTTTCGAATCGTTTTAAAAGCCTATATTTGGAGGAATACATGCAGAAGATGAATATATTGAGTAGGTATTTTTTCAGATAGTAGGAATGTATCTGTTTATTCGAGAAGGAGATAATATCCTACATCAATAATCAGGGGATGTCTTTGATTTTTTATGCAATATTCCAATATTGGGCCAAATCCGAGTCGAGATTCGGATTAAAAATAAAATGGTACACTTCTACGCCTCTGTATGAACACTCAGACAATCATTTCATGTTGCGCCCTTTGATCCACAAAGCCCTCTAGCTTTTTTCAACCCAGTCCGCCCCTGACCATTAGTGTCTTATTTATCAACAACAATAGAAATATATTTGAATAATGTACATACATAGCTCTGAGAAGAAAACGAACAGCGACAGTAAACTAGTTACTAGTTTGGGTTAGTACTTACTTCAAAATAATGAAATAACAATTTTCACTGATATATACAGACCCATTTAGAGAATATGTTTTCCGCTCTTTCTTGCAGCATTCATACTGCGTGAATACTTTCAGTGCTAAACAATAATTTCCTCATCGTCAGTGAGAAAACTTTCGCGATATCGTTTCAAAATGCGGTATTCGATTTTTCTCAATATCCCCTACATCCATTAAGTGATGTGATGTTAATTAGGATTCTGATGAAAAGCGGCAGAAACCTATCTTCGAAAAGAAGACACTCGAATTTAGAAGAAGAAAGAATGCACGTGTCTACGAAAACCAATTGATACGGTAAATTTTCCGTTACCTAGGTAAAACCGCGAGTTATGTATTCATCAATAATTTACTACTATGATATGCATTTGCTAGTTGCTATACTTTCAAAACCGTCCTCCTCTAACGATAGATATTTGCCTTATGGCTTCCAAAAATATACGAGTCCAATATATGAAACTACATTTCATGTACAAAAATAGTTGAACCAAATGCCACAAGTATTATATCTTCATCAATTCCTTATTTCACCTTTTTATACTTCAGACATGCCAATATTAAATACTAAGCGACCACGGAATCAGGTTCACCCATACCAAATATGTTGTCATAAAAATAAATAAAGATATACTTATTTTTCGTTTGTCCAGACACATTTGACACTTCTATATAGCATTCGAGAGAATTTAAAACCGCTGAAAATTTGTATTCTATAAGAAAAAAAGAAACGAAGGACAAATGTATGAGTGTTGTGTAACTTCTTGGTCACTTAGTGTACCAATATCAATTTTGTATTTTCTTCTTCTTGGAACACTGTATTTTGATCATTATGAAAGGAAAAACAGTGCAATGAAAAAATATTCTGTTACTTCATGATAAATCTATATTAAATAGTCGAATTTTATATGTATTGATTACCAAATCAAATTTGGTACTTGTGCTTATTCAACTTTTCAGCAATTAATTTCTCATTGTGCCTTGAAATGATCCGAAAATTGAAAAAATGTGTCTTCTGTGCCTACAGGGTGGACCAATAGTTTGACATAGTGAGATAGCAGTTCTGCTATTAGAAATGGAAAAATATGTTTTTACTGGGTCGTTGGGTCAAGAGTTATATATTTCAATAGTATATTGTTCAATGAGCACGGAATGATAGTGATTTCGACAAAGCTGTCATTGCTTGAAATTTGACGATCCATAAGTGATGAGATTTTTTTTGAAATAATACACAGTGATATCAGATACGGAAATGAAATTGATGACATACAAAGTACCTCATTGATGTAAGTATCGAATATAGTAAAACAAAAGCAATTGTGTGTTCTAGCCGTAGAAAAAATAATTTTCCATCGTAGAGTTTTCTCAAGAAATGTGACATCAAACTCATGTGTTTTTTAATTAAACACCCTATATATTCCAACATATATGGATCCTTAACAAATAATTATCACTTCCGCTTTTTGTTTTTGAAAATCCGACGTGGCGTTGCCAACTTATTACCGTTTTTCTGGAAATGCATGCATCTTTGAAGAAACGTTTACTACACACAATTTCAAGAATTTATTCAACCATTCGTGTCTTTCAAAAGTCAAAACTTTTTTTTCTTTCCACAATGTATACAGAATAACACTTCTGGAATACAAAATGCTCGTAACTAAATTTATTCAAATGGCATACCCTGTATCATTTCATACTATCCGATAGATATTTGCGACTGACATGGGTTTGTATAACTTAACATTATAGTTTATCTGTATATTGAATAACACGTGATATTTGATCGTCTGATACCTACTAGCAAAATCATACACTCATGCGAGCAAATCGATTTACCGAATTTGAAACATTCATTCAAAATAGCAACGAATATACAGGGGGGTAAATTGGTTCCGGGTCAACCGGTATATCTAGCGGTAATCGTGAAATGATACAGGGTGTGCCATTTGAAAAAATTGACTTACGAGCATTTTAAAATTCGACAAACTCGAAGTGTTATTATGGCCATCCTGTACACTTTGTGGAAAGGATGAGAGTTTCATATAATAGAACACGGTTTTGACTATTGATCAAAACTAATGTTCGAATGAATTCTTGAAATTGTAGGTAGGTAGTAGACTTTTCCTCAAACATGCCTGCATTTACGGAAAAACGGTTATAACTTGACAACGCAGCGTCGGATTTTCGAAAACAAGAAAGCTGGAGTGAGCATCATTTGACGAGAATCCATATACAGTATGTGCGATTTCAACTCGCATCACCGTCCAATTTGGAAACCGTCGACGGATTTTCAAAAACAAAAACGTCATAATATAGTACTCAACAAGCTCTATTCGAATATGTGGAATATGTTGGGGTCAAAATTTCAAAAAAGACTATTAGGCATTTTTTTTCGATACAATGACTAGCCTTTTCGATTCAGACATGGCACAAATACCCCCATACAAAATTTTAACGCAAAATCTCATATAGGGTGTTAGTTATTCAATGGCAAATTTCGACATTTTTATTTTTCGATTCACCCTGTATCAAAATCTAAGGAGTTGATATAACTGGTGAACTAGTCATTCAATGAAGGAATACATCGAATACTTTGATACGAAGTTTGATCGTCGTTACTTCTACAGGAAAATCTCTCTAGGTCAACCAAAAATTAATGAAACCTAAGTTGAAGTTCACCATTTTGAAAACTCAAGTGAAAAGTTTTTCACACAATTCACCACACAGTTATAAGTTTGAGAATTGTCTCGAATGATGAAGCTGTCGAATATGACACAAATAGAATGATAGCCAAAAACTCTGTATAGACTGCAAGGAGATTTACTGATAATTGAGAAAAATATCTCAAATTCAATTTCTTTCATTTTTGAATGACCTAGAGAGATCTTCCTGTAGAAGTTGAAACAATGAAACTTCGTATCCAAGTATTCGATGTGTCCTCCAGTGAATGATTACTTCAATGAATATATCAACTCCTATATTTTGATACCAGGTGAATCGAAGAATCGAAAATATCAAAATTTGCCAAGGAATAACTAACACCCTAATGGGATTTTGCGTTCAAATTTCGTATGGGGATATTTCAGCTGTGCCTGAATCGAATAGGCTAGTCACAGTTTCGAAAAAAATGGCCTAATAGTTGTGTTTCATTTAAATAAATCATAAGTTTGATGTGCCACATTTTTTGAGACACACTGTATAATGAAAAATAATTTTAAAATATGCATCACTTGCAACTACAACTCCTGTAAATAAATGTTTCTTCCATCTCTAATAGCATACCTGCTATATCTCACCTGCTATCTTTCTAGTCACACTATAAGTCCACTCTGTATATAGCTTGGTTGGCTATTAAATATTGAACTGATATTTTTATACAGCTTGTACATTTCTTGTGTGTTGAAAGTAATATCGTGAAATGGTTGGATTCTTTGTTCAGGTTGTTTTTTTAATTCCTGAAGGCTGGTGTGTGTTTTTTTAGTGTAGTATTACTGTTCTTGTTTTGTGTAACTAAATCGATGATGAACTGACTTCTTCTTCCATTTTTTGTTTTCATTCTATTTACAATAATGATTTTTGGTAATTGAATAATGTTTATCACTCTTTACTCCATGTTGGGACCATTTGAATAATTTTCGGTCAGGTATATGAATTTACAGAGTGCCCAAAAAGTCGTAAGTATTTCAGTATTAAGTAGTTTGCATTTTGTCATCTCTAAAGCGAATGAAGGGAACAAACAAAATTTTGAATCATTTTTAATGTTTGTACTGTGAAGTTTAACAACTAAGTAACATATTCCAAAAATATAGTTTGTTTATCTGAGGTTCATTCCGATTCACCCCACGAATATATGATTCACCTCATTTCACGATACTTTCTCAATGTTGTATTTACCAAATATATTTATCTGTTTCAAAAGTTTTCATAATTTCACCCTACTGCGAAAATTATAACCAAAGTTTTCTTGAACAAAAAAGATGACTCTTCTTATGTCATTTAGTATTCTGGAGCTCATGTTCGATATAAAGGGCGTTAAAAATGAAAAACTTCATATGGGGCTACCGCCATTCCCACCAAGTCCAATATTTATATCTATTTAATACTGTCTGTAGGTTAATCGAGGAGGTGGTACATTCATTATTCCAAATTTTTTGGGATTTTCTCTCCTCGTTTCTATAAAATAAAAATATGAATATTATTTCAATATACGTGTAGTAAGGACAAATCAGATGATTTGCCCCAAAATGTCACTGCGTTTAAAGAATTTTCCTATCAGAGAGCCTAAAAGAAAAATTCACTAGCTTGTCAGTGACAATTTGTATTGAAACATTTTTGGAGAAGAGAAATAAAGGTATATAGAAAAAATATCAAATTTTCACTTATCTTTGGATGATAGTGATGAATGAAAATTTGATAATTTTTCTATATACCTTTATTTCTCTTCTCCGAACTTTTTTCAATACAAATTGTCACTGACAAGCTATTGAATTTTTCTTTTAGGCTCTCTGATAGGAAAATTCTTTAAACGCAGTGACATTTTGGGGCAAATCATCTGATTTGTCCTTACTACACGTATATTGAAATAATATTCATATTTTTATTTTATAGAAACGAGGAGAGAAAATCCCAAAATATTTGGAATATTGAATATTTATATCTATGCTCGATATTATAGTCATATACAGTATGATGCAAATGTATGGAATAAATTCATTTCAAAACAAGACGACTTCCGAAGAAAATCCAAAAATTAGAGTTCAGAACTTTTTTATCGATGTATTTTGTCAACTAGACCACCCTTCGATGTTCAATTCTCAGTAGAAAATCTCTGCAAGATTCAGTTAACCAAATGATAATCCATGTCAATTTCAATCTTCTTTTGCAAAATTTTGACTATTGGATAGACGATCAGTAGACCTTTCAAACGAGGTGTCACATGACCCCTGTTTATATTTGAAAGAACCGTCCATTCCGTCATTACTCCAACACCGGTGAGGTAACATCTCTCATATGAATGTCATAAGATGAGGTTTCAAAAATTAAAACTCACGTGTTTTTGGAATTTCTTCAAATGTCGCCCATTTCTGAAATAATGAATTTATTCCATACATTTGCATCATACTGTATAATACCACAAGTGATAATATTTTGCCGGAAATATTCGGTGATTGTTACGACAGCTTGTTGCCTAGTAATTTCGTGAATGACATTGTTATCAAAACTACGAGCCGTAGGCGAGTAGTTTTGGATCAATGTCATGAGCGAAATTAGAGCAGCAAGCTGGAGTATGTCAATC